CTGCCATGGGCCCCTATATACCGGGCCTCCCATTCGCTTGCTGCCAAGTCACAGGTCTACATCTGCCATTTGAGGTCCCTATATATCGGGGGGGCACCGCTACTCCTCATGGACTGCGCTGCGTCAAAGGTCGCCAGAGTCTCTGTAATGCCTATGTGCCTAGGGGGGGGTTTCAGGGGTACCTTGGGTTGTGGCTTGTGTTGTTGGATGGGTGTGGGGGGGGGGTGAGTTGGTTTTATTGTGTGTGGGTGTGTGTGTATGTGGCGAGGGTATCGTTGTGGGGCCTCTCCTTAAGCTGCTGTCTGGCCCCTAATGTGCCATAGAGTGCCCCTATGTTTTTGTTGTTCGTCATGCTGCTTGCCAGGTCTAGAGGTGTGTCTGGGTTCGCCTGGAAGGAGTACGGCCTGGACCATGTTGGCTGCTAAGTCTCCATGCCGCCACAACGACCTGGGGGGGCTGCCATTGTGCCACATTCAGGTACTCCTACCACACTGACTAGGTGTGTGTAAATTTTTTGACATAGGGTGCAGGCAGATTAACGGGCCTCACATACTGCCATAGCTGCTGCCAGCCCCTAATCTGCCATGGGCCCCTATATACCGCCTCCTCATCTGCTGCATGCCAAGTCCAGAGTCTCTCATGGGTCCCCCTGTACGGCCTCCCATTGCTGCTGTCTCCATCGCCACACTCTGCTGCCATGTGCCACTTTCAGGTCTCTTCACACTGCTGGTGTGTGTTAAATTTTTTGACATAGGGTGCAGGCAGATTACGGGCCTCACATAGCTGCTGCCAGGCCCCTAATCTGCCATGGGCCCCTATATACCGCCCTCCTCATGCTGCTGCCAAGTCCAGAGTCTCCTCTTCACACTGCTGGTGTGTTAAATTTTTTGACATAGGGTGCAGGCAGATTACGGGCCTCACATAGCTGCTGCCAGGCCCCTAATCTGCCATGGGCCCCTATATACCGCCTCCTCATGCTGCTGCCAAGTCCAGAGTCTCTCATGGGTCCCTGTACGGCCTCCCATTGCTGCTGTCTCCATCGCCACACTCTGCTGCCATGTGCCACTTTCAGGTCTCTTCACACTGCTGGTGTGTTAAATTTTTTGACATAGGGTGCAGGCAGATTACGGGCCTCACATAGCTGCTGCTGCCAGGCCCCTAATCTGCCATGGGCCCCTATATAACCGCCTCCTCATGCTGCTGCCAAGTCCAGAGTCTCTCATGGGTCCCTGTACGGCCTCCCATTGCTGCTGTCTCCATCGCCACACTCTGCTGCCATGTGCCACTTTCAGGTCTCTTCACACTGCTGTGTGTGTTTAAATTTTTTGACATAGGGTGCAGGCAGATTACGGGCCTCACATAGCTGCTGCCAGGCCCCTAATCTGCCATGGGCCCCTATATACCGCCTCCTCATGCTGCTGCCAAGTCCAGAGTCTCTCATGGGTCCCTGTACGGCCTCCCATTGCTGCTGTCTCCATCGCCACACACTCTGCTGCCATGTGCCACTTTCAGGTCTCTTCACACTGCTGGTGTGTTAAATTTTTTGACATAGGGTGCAGGCAGATTACGGGCCTCACATAGCTGCTGCCAGGCCCCTAATCTGCCATGGGCCCCTATATACCGCCTCCTCATGCTGCTGCCAAGTCCAGAGAGTCTCTCATGGGTCCCTGTACGGCCTCCCATTGCTGCTGTCTCCATCGCCACACTCTGCTGCCATGTGCCACTTTCAGGTCTCTTCACACTGCTGGTGTGTTAAATTTTTTGACATAGGGTGCAGGCAGATTACGGGCCTCACATAGCTGCTGCCAGGCCCCTAATCTGCCATGGGCCCCTATATACCCGCCTCCTCATGCTGCTGCCAAGTCCAGAGTCTCTCATGGGTCCCTGTACGGCCTCCCATTGCTGCTGTCTCCATCGCCACACTCTGCTGCTGCCATGTGCCACTTTCAGGTCTCTTCACACTGCTGTGTGTGTTAAATTTTTTGACATAGGGTGCAGGCAGATTACGGGCCTCACATAGCTGCTGCCAGGCCCCTAATCTGCCATGGGCCCCTATATATACCGCCTCCTCATGCTGCTGCCAAGTCCAGAGTCAGAGTCATGGGTCCCTGTACGGCCTCCCATTGCTGCTGTCTCCATCGCCACACTCTGCTCTGCCATGTGCCACTTTCAGGTCTCTTCACACTGCTGGTGTGTTTTAATTTTTTGACATAGGGTGCTGCAGGCAGATTACGGGCCTCACATAGCTGCTGCCAGGCCCCTAATCTGCCATGGGCCCCTATATACCGCCTCCTCATGCTGCTGCCAAGCCAAGTCCAGAGTCTCTCATGGGTCCCTGTACGGCCTCCCATTGCCCATTGCTGCTGTCTCCATCGCCACACTCTGCTGCCATGTGCCACTTTCAGGTCTCTCTTCACACTGCTGGTGTGTTAAATTTTTTGACATAGGGGGTGCAGGCAGATTACGGGCCTCACATAGCTGCTGCCAGGCCCCTAATCTGCCATGGGCCCCTATATATACCGCCTCCTCTCATGCTGCTGCCAAGTCCAGAGTCTCTCATGGGTCCCTGTACGGCCTCCCTCCCATTGCTGCTGTCTCCATCGCCACACTCTGCTGCCATGTGCCACTTTCAGGTCTCTTCACACTGCTGGTGGTGTGTTAAATTTTTTTGACATAGGGTGCAGGCAGATTACGGGACGGGCCTCACATAGCTGCTGCCAGGCCCCTAATCTGCCATGGGCCCCTATATACCGCCTCCTCATGCTGCTGCCAAGTCCAGAGTCTCTCATGGGTCCCCTGTACGGCCTCCCATTGCTGCTGTCTCTGTCTCCATCCGCCACACTCTGCCATGTGCCACTTTCAGGTCTCTCTTCACACTGCTGGTGTGTTAAAATTTTTTGACATAGGGTGCAGGCAGATTACGGGCCTCACATAGCTGCTGCCAGGCCCCTAATCTGCCATGGGCCCCTATATACCGCCTCGCCTCCTCATGCTGCTGCCAAGTCCTAGAGTCTGTCATGGGTCCCTGTACGGCCTCCCATTGCTGCTGTCTCCATCGCCACACTCTGCTGCCATGTGCCACTTTCAGGTCTCTTCACACTGCTGGTGTGTTAAATTTTTTGACATAGGGTGCAGGCAGATTACGGGGCCTCACATAGCTGCTGCCAGGCCCCTAATCTGCCATGGGCCCCTATATACCGCCTCCTGCATGCTGCTGCCAAGTCCAGAGTCTGTCTCATGGGTCCCCTGTACGGCCTCCCATTGCTGCTGTCTCCATCGCCACACTCTGCTGCCATGTGCCACTTTCAGGTCTCTTCACACTGCTGGTGTGTTAAATTTTTTTGACATAGGGTGCAGGCAGATTACGGGCCTCACATAGCTGCTGCCAGGCCCCTAATCTGCCATGGGCCCCTATATATACCGCCTCCTCATGCTGCTGCCAAGTCCTCCAGAGTGTCATGGGTCCCTGTACGGCCTCCCATTGCTGCTGTCTCCATCGCCACACTCTGCTGCCATGTGCCACTTTCAGGTCTCTTCACACTGCTGGTGTGTTAAATTTTTTGACATAGGGTGCAGGCAGATTACGGGCCCTCACATAGCTGCTGCCAGGCCCCTAATCTGCCATGGGCCCCTATATACCGCCTCCTCATGCCTCTGCCAAGTAGAGTCTCTCATGGGTCCCTGTACGGCCTCCCATTGCTGCTGTCTCCATCGCCACACTCTGCTGCCATGTGCCACTTTCAGGTCTCTTCACACTGCTGGTGTGTGTTTAATTTTTTGACATAGGGTGCAGGCAGATTACGGGCCTCACATAGCTGCTGCCAGGCCCCTAATCTGCCATGGGCCCCTATATACCGCCTCCTCATGCTGCTGCCAAGTCCAGAGTCTCTCATGGGTCCCTGTACGGCCTCCCATTGCTGCTGTCTGTCTCCATCGCCACACACTCTGCTGCCATGTGCCACTTTCAGGTCTCTTCACACTGCTGGTGTGTTAAATTTTTTTGACATAGGGTGCAGGCAGATTACGGGCCTCACATAGCTGCTGCCAGGCCCCTAATCTGCCATGGGCCCCCTATATACCCGCCTCCTCATGCTGCTGCCAAGTCCAGAGTCTCTCATGGGTCCCTGTACGGCCTCCCATTGCTGCTGTCTCCATCGCCACACTCTGCTGCCATGTGCCACTTTCAGGTCTCTTCACACACTGCTGGTGTGTTAAATTTTTTTTGACATAGGGTGCAGGCAGATTACGGGCCTCACATAGCTGCTGCCAGGCCCCTAATCTGCCATGGGCCCCTATATACCGCCCGCCTCCTCATGCTGCTGCCAAGTCCAGAGTCTCTCATGGGTCCCTGTACGGCCTCTCCCATTGCTGCTGTCTCCATCGCCACACTCTGCTGCCATGTGCCACTTTCAGGTCTCTTCACACTGCTGGTGTGTGTTAAATTTTTTGACATAGGGTGCAGGCAGATTACGGGCCTCACATAGCTGCTGCCAGGCCCCTAATCTGCCATGGGCCCCTATATACCGCCTCCTCATGCTGCTGCCAAGTCCTAGAGTCTCTCATGGGTCCCTGTACGGCCTCCCATTGCTGCTGTCTCCATCGCCACACACACTCTGCTGCCATGTGCCACTTTCAGGTCTCTTCACACTGCTGGTGTGTTTAAATTTTTTTGACATAGGGTGCAGGCAGATTACGGGCCTCACATAGCTGCTGCCAGGCCCCTAATCTGCCATGGGCCCCTATATACCGCCTCCTCATGCTGCTGCCAAGTCCAGAGTCTCTCATGGGTCCCTGTACGGCCTCCCATTGCTGCTGTCTCTCCATCGCCACACTCTGCTGCCATGTGCCACTTTCAGGTCTCTCTTCACACTGCTGTGTGTGTTAAATTTTTTGACATAGGGTGCAGGCAGATTTACGGGCCTCACATAGCTGCTGCCAGGCCCCTAATCTGCCATGGGCCCCTATATACCGCCTCCTCATGCTGCTGCAGCCAAGTCCAGAGTCTCTCATGGGTCCCTGTACGGCCTCCCATTGCTGCTGTCTCCATCGCCCACACTCTGCTGCCATGTGCCATTTCAGGTCTCTTCACACTGCTGGTGTGTTAAATTTTTTGACATAGGGTGCAGGCAGATTACGGGCCTCACATAGCTGCTGCCAGGCCCCTAATCTGCCATGGGCCCCTATATACCCGCCTCCTCATGCTGCTGCCAAGTCTCCAGAGTCTCTCATGGGTCCCTGTACGGCCTCCCATTGCTGCTGTCTCCATCGCCACACTCTGCTGCCATGTGCCACTTTCAGGTCTCTTCACACTGCTGGTGTGTTAAATTTTTTGACATAGGGTGCAGGCAGATTACGGGCCTCACATAGCTGCTGCCAGGCCCCTAATCTGCCATGGGCCCCTATATATATACCCGCCTCCTCATGCTGCTGCCAAGTCCAGAGTCTCTCATGGGTCCCTGTACGGCCTCCCATTGCTGCTGTCTCCATCGCCACACTCTGCTGCCATGTGCCACTTTCAGGTCTCTTCACACTGCTGGTGTGTGTTTAATTTTTTGACATAGGGTGCAGGCAGATTACGGGCCTCACATAGCTGCTGCCAGGCCCCTAATCTGCCATGGGCCCCTATATACCGCCTCCTCATGCTGCTGCCAAGTCCAGAGTCTCTCATGGGTCCCTGTACGGCCTCCCATTGCTGCTGCTGTCTCCATCGCCACACTCTGCCATGTGCCACTTTCAGGTCTCTTCACACACTGCTGGTGTGTTTAATTTTTTTGACATAGGGTGCAGGCAGATTACGGGCCTCACATAGCTGCTGCCAGGCCCCTAATCTGCCATGGGCCCCTATATACCCCTCCTCCTCATGCTGCTGCCAAGTCCAGAGTCTCTCATGGGTCCCTGTACGGCCTCCCATTGCTGCTGTCTCCATCGCCACACTCTGCTGCCATGTGCCACTTTCAGGTCTCTTCACACTGCTGGTGTGTTAAATTTTTTTGACATAGGGTGCAGGCATTACGGGCCTCACATAGCTGCTGCCAGGCCCCTAATCTGCCATGGGCCCCTATATATACCCGCCTCCTCATGCTGCTGCTGCCAAGTCTAGAGTCTCTCATGGGTCCCTGTACGGCCTCCCATGCTGCTGCTGTCTCCATCGCCACACTCTGCTGCCATGTGCCACTTTCAGGTCTCTTCACACTGCTGTGTGTGTTAAATTTTTTGACATAGGGTGCAGGCAGATTACGGGCCTCACATAGCTGCTGCCAGGCCCCTAATCTGCCATGGGCCCCTATATACCGCCTCCTCATGCTGCTGCTGCCAAGTCCAGAGTCTCTCATGGGTCCCTGTACGGCCTCCCATTGCTGCTGTCTCCATCGCCACACTCTGCTGCCATGTGCCACTTTCAGGTCTCTTCACACTGCTGGTGTGTTAAATTTTTTTGACATAGGGTGCAGGCAGATTACGGGCCTCACATAGCTGCTGCCAGCCCCTAATCTGCCATGGGCCCCTATATACCTACCGCCTCCTCATGCTGCTGCCAAGTCCAGAGTCTGTCATGGGTCCCTGTACGGGCCTCCCATGCTGGGTCCCTGTACGGCCTTTCAGGTCTCTTTGCTGCTGTCTCCATCGCAGATTACGGGCCTCCATAGCTGCACTAATCTGCCTGCCATGTGCATGCCACTTTCAGGTCTCTTCACACTGCTGGTGTGTTAAATTTTTTGACATAGGGTGCAGGCAGATTACGGGCCTCACATAGCTGCTGCCAGGCCCCTAATCTGCCATGGGCCCCTATATACCCGCCTCCTCATGCTGCTGCCAAGTCAGAGTCTGTCATGGGTCCCTGTACGCCTCCCATTGCTGCTGTCTCCATCGCCACACACTGCTGCCATGTGCCACTTTCAGGTCTCTTCACACTGCTGTGTGTGTTTAATTTTTTGACATAGGGTGCAGGCAGATTACGGGCCTCACATAGCTGCTGCTGCCAGGCCCCTAATCTGCCATGGGCCCCTATATACCGCCTCCTCATGCTGCTGCCAAGTCTAGAGTCTGTCATGGGTCCCTGTACGGCCTCCCCATTGCTGCTGTCTCCATCGCCACACTCTGCTGCCATGTGCCACTTTCAGGTCTCTTCACACTGCTGCTGGTGTGTTAAATTTTTTGACATAGGGTGCAGGCAGATTACGGGCCTCACATAGCTGCTGCCAGGCCCCTAATCTGCCATGGGCCCCTATATACCGCCTCCTCATGCTGCTGCCAAGTCCAGAGTCTCTCATGGGTCCCTGTACGGCCTCCCATTGCTGCTGTCTCCATCGCCACCACTGCTGCCATGTGCCACTTTCAGGTCTCTTCACACTGCTGCCTGTGTTTAAATTTTTTGACATAGGGTGATTACGGGCCTCACATAGTCGCACTTGCAGGCCTAATCTTCCATGGGCTGCTGGTGTGTAAGCCCCTATAATTTTTTGCACTGGGTCCAGATCATGGCAGATGTCCCCCTATAAGCTGCCTCCCATTGCTGCTGTCCCATCGCCATCTGCCCATGGGCCATGTGCCACTTATCAGGGCCTCCTCACACTGCTGCTGGAAAAGTGTTAAGAGTTTTCTGTCATGAGGTGCAGGCAGTACGGGCCCTCCCATAGCTGCTGCCAGGCCCCTAATCTCCATCGCCACCCCTGCCATATGCCACTTTGGGGTCTCTTCACACTGCTGGTGGTGTTATAATTTTTAGGGAAGATCTGTCATCATGGTCAGCTGTACGGCCTCACATTAGCTGCTGCCAGGCGCCACTACTGTCTGCCATGGGCATTTCAGGTGAATGGAATCCTCATGCTGGTGTGGGAAAGGGTATTTCTCAAATGGGAGTAGGGCCTCCCATAGAGAGGAATGCCAGGCCCCTAATCTGCCATGGATATACTTTGACCTGGGGGGGGCTGCCAAGGGCTCTTTGGGGGGGCCTCCCATGCTGCTGTAAAACGTTCACACTGCTGCCATGTGCCACTTTCAGGTCTCTTCTATGCTGGTGTGTTAAATTTATGAAATAGGGTCCAATGTGGCAGTCATTAACGGGAAATACCATTTTGCTCCCATTGCCAGACAGTGTAATCTGCCATGGGCCCCCGTACCGACTCCTCATGCTGTGACGTTGCAACAAGGTGTAATTCCCTACATCAAATGTTATAGGACCGCCTTTACGAACAGCTAAAGGCCATCACAGATTTCCTGATGTTAAAAGCGGAAAAAGGTACTCCCTGTGTAACTTAGATGTCAGCCATTGTCAGCTCATGTGTGACACCTGCGCTTGCTCAGAAACCTTTGAGGAGGCCACGCTATTCGTGAGTCGGCAGGACTATGGGGGATGAATGAGGTCAAATCGGCCATTGGGCCCCCGTACCGCTGTCACGCTGCTGCTGCTGGTCCCACAGTGTGACCTGGGTCCCTGTACGGCCTCCCATTGCTTCCACTCTGCCATGTGCCACTTTTGAAATCTCCTCACACTCCTGCGGTTGTCCATTTTTTGTCATAGGTTGCTGGCAGATTACAGGCCTTCCATAGGTGCCACCAAGCCCCATATCGGCCATGGGCCCCCGTACCGCCTGGTCACGCTGCTGCTGCTGGGCCCACAGTGTGACCTGGGTCCCTGTACCCGCCTCCCATTGCTCCCACTCTGCCATGTGCCACTTTCAGGTCTCCTCACGCTCCTGCTGGTTTCCATTTTGTCATAGGTTGCTGTATGGCCTCCCATTGCTGCTGCCCCACCCCACACTGTGGCTCCAAACACTGGTTTTGGCCCCGTGACTGGCCAAAGGAGTGAAGTGTGCAGTGATTCTAAGATCGACGGCACTCATCTGCATGTCATACTGACAGACAGTATTATTTCTCTTCCCCAGCAGACTCCAAGGGCATTTAAATTAAAGGTACAGTGTTCTGCACTAATATTAAGTCTCTCTGAAGCCTAGAAAACACCCTTTTTTAAGTTAAATTCACAGCGAATTTATTCGACTCGAATCGAATATTGTCCACGAATTCGCCGAATCAGTCGAATCGAATTTTTCATTTCTTCGTCAGTCTTTAACCCCTTGACACCAACGGCACACAAATATGCGGCCTCATAGATCTGGGATTTTTTCCGTGGGGCCGCATATTTGCGTACCTGTCTTTGTGCTGGGAGCGCTCCGCTCGGCGCGCTCCCAGCACCGAGACCGCGGTGTGTCACTGAGAGCCCCAGGTCCCGTTCTAATGATCAAGACCTGGGACTCCCGATTCCAAGTCACGAGATCGCTGTGATAGCCTCTGATTGGCTATCACAGTGATCAGTCACTGTACAGCCCGGCCCCTTGTTTTTCTTCTCTCTATGAATGGAGGAGAGAGATACATAGTATCATTATATACATCCTATTATACATTGTATCATTATATACATTCCATTATACATTGTATCATTATATACATTCCATTATACATTGTATCATTATATACATCCCATTATACATTGTATCGTTATATACATCCTATTATACATTGTATCATTATATACATCCCATTATACATTGTATCATTATATACATTCCATCATACATTGTATCATTATATACATCCTATTATACATTGTATCATTATATATACATCCCATCATACATCGTATCATTATATACATCCTATTATACATTGTATCGTTATATGCATCCTATTATCCATTGTATCGTTATATACACCCCATTATACATTGTATCGTTATATACACCCCATTATACATTGTATCGTTATATACATCCTATTATACATTGTATCATTATATACATCCCATTATACATTGTATCATTATATACATTCCATCATACATTGTATCATTATATTACATCCTAGTATACATTGTATCATTATATACATCCCATCATACATTGTATCATTATATACATCCCATCATACATTGTATCATTATATACATCCCATCATACATTGTATCATTATATACATCCTATTATACATTGTATCATTATATACATCCCATTATACATTGTGTCATTATATACATCCTATTATACATTGTATCTCTCTAACTCCTGACATAGAGAGAAAAAAAATGTTAAAAAAAAAAAAAAAAAAAGAAGATAAATAAATAAATATTATTAAAAATAAAAGAAAAAATAAAGAAAAAGACCTTGATCAAGGTTTGATCTAGTTCAGTGCCAGGGTTAGTGTTCGGGTCAAGGTCAGAGTCAAAGATCAGAATTTAAAAACAAAAAACAAAATGTGGTATCAGTGTGTTGTAGGTAAAAAAAAAAAAGACAAAAACAAAATGCACACTATTATTTCTGGGCTGTACTACAGGTACAAACAACACATAACATACATATACGGTATCGCTGCGATCGTCAAGAGCTGGAGAATTTATTTTGGGTTGTTCTTTGGTGGTAGGTTATGGTAGTCACAAGAAACACACAGCTAAACAGAAAAAAAAAATGATTTTTTTTTACTATTTTGGGCCAGTTTTCCTTTGATATATAAAAAAAATTAGGAGCTATCCATTACCATTTACCACCAAATGAAAGCCCAATTTGTTCTGAAAAAATTGTGGTATAATCTACCCGGATGTACAAAGTAGATGTGATGATACGGACGGTTTTACTATCACATGTCAACGTTGCAGAATTGTGCTTAGGCATTTAGATTTGTTTTACCCTCAGGCGTGAAGGGGTTAAGGCAGGATTGGGTGAACACTGTGACCTGACTGGGATCTGTATTCTGTCTGTGCAGGAAATGTCCCGGGTGTTCAGGAGGAAATATTCACCCGGCCGGGATCTGACCTTCTCCTCCCCATCAGAATCCATCTCACCCTCAAACCATACGGATAGACGGAGGTGTGACTCTTTTTTCTGGTACTACCAGGAATCACGGGAACACTTGGGAAGAAGAATAGCTAAGCACTGGAATTGTGAGCCGTCTGATCTCACGTATTTCCCCAACACAAGGATATCAGAGAACGGAAAAGTCTGGTCATATCCAATGTGACTCGGGACAATGACGGGATTTACAGCGTGGAAATGTACAACTCTACAGGACACAGTATACTGACAGATCATTACACCGCTCATGTAGAAGGTAAGTCCTGGTCGGTCTCCTCAGTACAGGACACAGTATACTGACAGATCATTACACCGCTCATGTAGAAGGTAAGTCCTGGTTGGTCTCCTCAGTACAGGACACAGCATACTGACAGATCATTACACCGCTCATGTAGAAGGTAAGTCCTGGTCGGTCTCCTCAGTACAGGACACAGTATACTGACAGATCATTACACCGCTCATGTAGAAGGTAAGTCCTGGTCGGTCTCCTCAGTACAGGACACTAGGGATGGGACAAGAGGACATTTCTAGAGTTCTCAGGGTTTTTCAGCTGTTGAGGGTGAAGGATTCCGGGGTGGTCCAGACAATTTTAAAAAAACTGAAATGAGAAACAAATGTAGGAGCAAACAGGTTCCAAGTACCTTACACCCCAACAAATGAGTCCATATATTAATCAGATCATAAAAAGTCCAAAATAGTCACCAGGGCTTCCAATGTGCAGAAGCAGGAAAGAAAGGGGTAACGCGTCTCTAAGGGCAGAACTGTGTAAAACTTTTATTAAAACAAGGGATGCCAAAATGGCCACTGACATAATATAGGTAATGTCAGGGCTCTGTCCACAGCAGAGGTACTTGGAGACCTGGCATTCCTGCCAGTACCT